CGAGACCGCCCAAGAGACCCCCAAGACGCCCTCAAGAGGCCCCCATGATGGCCCAAGAGTCCCCCAGGCAACCCAGGAGCTCTCCAGGAAGGCCCCAAAGAGTCCCGAGACGGCTCTCCAGGCCGCCAGTGGGTCCCAAGAAAGCCCCGAGACGCATCCGAAACGCCCCCAAGAGCCCCCAAGAGCCCCAGAATGGACCCGGACGGCCTCATAATGGTTCCCAAGAGGCCGACTGTCATTGATAAGACGCCCCCCAGATCCCAAGAGCCCAAGAATAGTCCCAGACGGTCTCAAAACGGCTCCCAAGTGGCCGTGCTTCGCTGTCGGTGGAACGGACTGGAATTGAGGTACGGTGGGCGCGTCCGTTTGGGAACGTCGGTCCCGCGTCCGCCGACAATTACGAGCCATGAAAGATGAGCCAGCAATTGTGCACAGCGCGTTCCGGCAGGGCGCTTCCAGAACACGCTGAGGGAGAAGGGAAGTCAGGAAGAGAAAGAGGAGGAGGAGGAGGAGGAGGAGGAGGAGGAGGAGGAGGAACAGTAGTAGGATCTGAAGGGGGAATAGGAGGAGAATGATGTCCTGGAGGCTCCCCCCCTGGCCTCGGAATTGACGTAATTCAGCATGGTTGCCGTCCAGTTCGGGCCCCAGGGACGAGGTCCCAGGAGGGCCCCGGGAATGGAGCCCCAGTGGGGCTCCGGGAGTGGAGCCCCGAGAGGATCCCTGCAGCTGATAACTATGATGCTCCAGACGATCCGCTTGCTCCTCTCCTGTCGGAGCTCGAACTCGCAATCGGTCAGTCTGCGCTAGAACGAACCTAAGCGCGCAAAGCGCGCGCGTGGTTCTAGCGTGTGTATATATATGTATATAAACTTATGTCGCAGCTGGAACCTCTGGCGCCATGGATTTCGCAATCTATGGTGCAATCAATTGCGCCCACCCCGGTTCTGCCGATGGAGCTCGTGGAAGTAATGTGGACGGGGGAGGGGCGAGGAAGGAAATAATGAAAGAAGGAAGGGGGGAAGGAGAGAGACTGAATGGGGAGGAACAGAACCATGGCAGCGAGTTCTGCGGGGTTGCACCGAGTAGTTTGTCCTCACAGTTTCCGTGGGTTTGCGCTCGTAAAGGGATTCGCCGTTCGGGCTGCCAGCTTGTGGGGCCCAAATGCGGTTTCAAAAGGCTATTTGACAGGCCGCAAGCGCCCAGCGTCCTTAATTATCAAACCCCGCTCCCATATTCACGGTATGTTGGGCTGTTACACGACGTGGGCCTTCGGATTTGTCGACCCGTTTGTCTGTATTTTCTCTTCACCAGAAGCATCGGCCCCCTTGAGGCCGCAAGTGGCAATAGACTTCCCGTCGTCATTTTGTTCGCGACGCGGGGGGGTCCGAGCCCAGGGTCCTAAATCGACCCCCGCGCCCGTCCAGGGGCACGTGCTGGCCAGAACCTTCAGGCGGATCTGGCCATGGCGACGCGGACCCTCCTAGAGTCTCCCAAGACGTGCCACAACTCGAGCCTCGCCTCTCGCTGCAATGCTGCACGTTGCCGATCGTGTTTTGCCCGTCGGGGCTGGCTGCGGCCACGGCCCCGAGAGACATCGCGTCGCCAGGCGGTGAGCATGTACACAGCCCTGCGTCGCACCCCCCGCTCAGAGATCTGATGTCGCGGATTTGTTCACGACGGGGTCGCCAGGAGCCTCGACCCCTTCCCTTTGAGTTTCATCCCCAGTTTCTTTTGTTGACTGTCCCGGGGCCTAGAGAGGCCGAGAACGGCGAGAAAACGTTGTCTTGATTTTTCCTGGACAGGGCCTGAGCCCAAGGTTTTTTTCCCAACCATCCGGTGGTGTTGGGTCCTCGTTTTGGACAGACAGCGCCCCGCGTCTCACCTCCTGCTCCCCCTGCCCCCTCCCTCCTCCCCTCCTCCCACCTCCCATTCTTACTTCTGCTCGCCGCATGTCCACCATGCGGGCACACCCCTCACGAGGACCGTGGCCCCCATAGGAGGATCCACCGAAGGCCCCGTCGGCACTGCTTGCATGCATTCCCCCGCCCATTTTGGCACACCCCTCACGAGGACCGTGGCCCATAGGGAGTTCCACCGACGGCCCCAGGCAGGGTTTCCATGCGTCCCCCCGCTGATTTCTGACACCCCTCACGAGGATCGTGGCCCCATTGGGAGCTCCACCGAGGGCGCCAGCGGCAGGGTTTGCATGCGTCCCCCCGCCCATTTTTCGGCAAACCCCTCACGAGGATCCTGGCCCCATGAGGAGATCCAACGAAGGCGCCAGCGGCAGGGTTTGCATACGTCCCCCCGCCCATTTCGGCGCACCCCTCACGAGGACCGTGGCCCCATAGGGAGATCCACAGGAGGCCCCAGCGGCAGGGTTTGCACGCGTCCCCCCGCCAATTTCGGCACACCCCTCACGAGGATCGTGGCCCCATTGGGAGCTCCACCGAGGGCGCCAGCGGCAGGGTTTGCATGCGTCCCCCCGTCCATTTCGGCACACCCCTCACGAGGGGGAGTTCCACCGAAGGCTCCACCGGCAGGGTTTGCATGCATCCCCCCACCCATTTCGGCACACCCCTTACCAGGATCGTGGCCCCATAGGGAGCTCCACCGAGGGCGCCAGCGGCAGGGTTTGCATGTGTCCCCCCGCCCATTTCGGCAAACCCCTCACGAGGATCGTGGCCCCATAGGGGGTTCCACCGAGAGCGGTACCCACATCACGGTACTCACAGCTGCATATGGTTGGGTCCTTCGCCAGGATAATTGTTGGTAAATTGTCTTCGGTGCCGGCGGATTAATGTGCGATATCGAACGAGGTCAAAAAGGGCCGCCGGATTAAATGTTGAGGGTGTCCCGAGCGAAACGGTGAAGTAAACATTTTCGTTTGTTGCGGATGTCTCGAGCGAAACGCTTATGTTGCAGAATCTGTTAAGGGTGTCTCATGCGAAACGCTTGTTTTGTTTGCTCCTCTCCTGGGGGCCAGAATTCAGTGGATCTCTCAGGCGAAATGCGTGTTTCCTCGTGTCCAGGTTACCCAGTGGGATATCCTACATGGTTGTCCCCAGCTGGAACCAAGTGTTCTCACGTGTCCAGGCCACCCAGGGGGGTATCTGAGATGGTGGTCCCAAGCTTGAACTATTTGTTTTACGGGTCCAGGTCACCTAGTGGGGTATCGAACGTGGTGGCCCCGAGCTGGTACCAGGTGTTTTCATGTGCCGAGGCCACCCAGGGGGGTATCTAACATGGTGGTCCCGAGCTGGAACCAGTGGTTTTACGAGTGCGGGCCACCCACGGGTGGGGCATCTAACATGCAGTCGTCTGGGAGCCCCCTGCGTGGTGGCCGTCCAGAAGGGTATCTAACATGATGGTCTCGAGTCATGTGTCCAGGCCACCCAGGGGGGTATCTAACATGCTAGTCCCAAGCTGGAACCACTTGCTTTTACGTGCCCAAGCCGCCCATGGGGACGTATCTAAGATGGTTGCCTTTTGCTCCTCGTTGGAACCACGTGGTCTCACATGCCCAGGCCAACCAGACAGATTTCTAACATTGTGGTCTCAAGCATGAACCAAGTGTTTTCACGTGTCCAGGCCACCCAGATGGGCATCTAGCATGGAGGTCACGAGCTGGGGCCACGTGTTTTCACGTGCCCAGGCCACCCAGAGGGATATCGAACAAACCACGAGTGTTCTCTCCGTGTGAAGGCCATCTAAGGGGGTTGCCTAAGATGGTGGCCCCGAGCTTGAACCATTTGTTTTTACGTGTCCAGGTCACCCAGTGGGGTATCGAAAATGGTGGCCCCGAGCTGGAACCACGTTTTTTCTCCTGCCCAGGCCATGCAGAAGGGGTATCTAACATGGTTGCCCCGAGCTGGAAACATGTGTTTAATTTACGTGTGCAGGCCACCCAATGGGAGGTATCTAACATGTGGTTGTGGGAGCCCTCAGCGTGGGGGGCCACACGAGCCAGACAGAAACAGTACATGTCTATCTGGTGATTATCCGGGTTTTCCATTGGGGTTGTTCGCATGGTGGTCCCGAGCTGGAACTAAGTGTTTCTACGTGTCCAGGCCACCCAGGTGGATACCTAACAGTGGCCCCGAGCTGGAACCGCGGTCACGGTCGTCGCCGTCATCCGTCGTTGTCGCCGTCGGCGTTGCGGCCCGCCCCTTCTCCATGGATTTCGCTTCGCTTTGAACTCGCCATTACAATTTCGACCTGTTGCGGAACATAATCCTTTCATCAGGTCTCAATTGCAATCAGTTAGAAGCGAGCAATACGCCCAAGCAGTTCGAGCTTGAGACCCAGCTCAGTTCTGTCAGGATTCGGATGCCAAGGAAGATTGGACCCACGACGCAACAAAGCACAGAAGTGTTCATATTCGTACCCTTTCGGTTCGTCCCGCTTCCGAGCTGAATCGGATCTTGAGCTCCAGCTGGTCGAGCGCCCCCGCGCGTTTCGATTGCGGCCAGATCTGAATTATGTGTTAAGGCAGCTCGAGCGTAAGATCCAGATCAGTTCGATCAGGGTTCGGCACCACGGACGACCTGATCCACAATGCAATAGAGTACAGCACTTCAACGCGGCATTGCGCGTCTTAGTTCATCACAGCACAGCAAAGCACAGGCCCTGGCACTGTACATCACCATTGCTACCTTGTCCTCCCCAGTCGGCACCTGCGGTAGGCAGCACTTTGACTACGAAAGCTAGGGGCAAACAGAAATTTTGAAGTTCCTTTGGCGCGCTCGGCCAGGAAATCTCGCCCTCCTGTCTGTACGTGGCTATTTCCAGTCGTGATGTTCGCCGTAGCGTTGTTGAACACAAGCGTCACCAGTGCTGTCTTGAGCCTTGCAATGGCCCGTCGCCCAAGTCTGGCTTCACGTTTTCATACCCCTTTCTGGGTTCGTGGGCCGATCATGTTTTGATGCCATTGCATCTCCGTGCCCCCCCCCCACTCCCCGCCCGCGCACAACCCGCCCTCCCCACGCGTGAATGCGGAGGCCGCAGCGGCGGGCGCCGACGAAGAGCCGCTGACCGAGGGCACGCCCGCGCTCTGCGGGCCCGCCGCCGCAGTGGGCGACCTCGCCGCCCCGCCCACGCCGTCGCCGCAGCGGCGCGCCGAGGGCTCCAGCCCCCCGGCGCCGCGGCAGGCCGCCGATCAGGAGGGACAGCTGCGCACAAGCACACATCACTGCTGATCTTCGTGGGCGTGTGGGCACACGTGGGAAAAAGGAGAGGAATGAGGACATACCAGAAATCATGGGAAACTACGGACCAACTTATTTGTGTGCCCCTGAGTCCCTCTAGCCTCGCGCACCCCCGACGACGGCGGCGGCGGCGGCGGCGGCGGCGGCGGCGGCGACGACGACGACGACGACGACGACGACGACGACGACGACGACGACGACGACGACGACAGGCCGCCGAGGGCTCCGCGGACCCCGCCGCGCCCGGGGGCGCCAGCTTGCGGCAGCCCGCCGACGAGGCTGCCGCTGGCCGGGCCGCTGGCCCGGCCGCGCCCGCGCCCTCGCTGGCAAGCGGCGGCGCCGGGCGCACGGCCGCGCCCGGGCCCGCGGCCTCGACGCCGGGCGCCGCAGAAGGCTGGCCGCAGGGGCAGGGCGCCGACGGCGGCGGCGCAGGCTCGCCCGCGCACGCGGCCGCCGAGGGCGAGCCGCGCGGACAGGACACGAACGCTGCGCTCGGGGAGGCGCAGGCCTCAAAGGAGGGACAAGAAAACGTACGGAGATGTAGCACCTCGCAGCTGCAGGTGCGAGTGAGGCGGCGGGCGCGGAGTGGGCCGCGGGTGGGTCGCGGGAGGGGGGGCGTGGGTGAGGACGACGACAACAGCGAACAGCAGCAGTTGCAGCAGCAGCAGCAGCAACAACGAGAATGCGGGCCACAGAACCCCACTTCAGCCATGCACCCGGGGACAACGCGTAACGGTTCGGCCCCTCCTCTCTGGCCGCTGCTCGTCCTGAGAACCCTCGTCGCCCTCGGCCGGGCCCTCCTCGAAATTCCAGTCGGAGCGCACCCCGGGGGAGGTCTGGGGAGCGGCGGTGTCCGTCCCTTGTGCTCTGCCCCGCCCCCCCCCCAAGGCTGGCGAGGGCGGGCGTGGCGGGCAGCTTGACCCGCACGCGGAGGCGGCCTTGGCGGCGGAGCGCTCCCTCCGCGGCCCCGGGATCGAGGACTCGGTGGCGAAATCCGCACCCGACCCTCGCCGAGCATCGACTCGGGTAGCTCGCTCGGCGGCGCAGGTCAGTATCATTTCACCGAGACCGATCCCCATCCCGATCCCTACCATCCCACCACCCCAGTTGTGGCTGTACCCCATCAGAACCTGCGGGTAACAGCCAACATCCCCATCTTGGGGGGTTACATCGGCCAGTGGGACCCAGGCCACGCTGGTGGGGATAGGTATCGGTTGCAAGATGCTTAGGAGGTGGCGCGGGCCAGATTGATGTCCATATCCACTGCGTCTTGGCCTTTCGGGGGAGGGGCGCCGAAAGGCCGACGCGCAGTGGCTACGGATAAGAATCCAGCCTCTAGGGGCCAGATTTTGATCCCTACCCGCTGCACCTGTGTGGTTTCTGGGCAAGGGGGCCCGACACTCCAACTCGCCGTGGATACACAAATCTTGCCCGCAGGTGGGCTTCGGAATGCGTCGAGCGCGTGGCGAAATCCGAACCCTGCCCCCGCCCCCCATCGGTTGAGGAGAACCGATGGTTGGTGGGGATGCAGGCTTCGGCCGTCGCCCGCCTAGAGGCGGCACCAGCGGCGGACTGCTCCGCCCGCGGCCCCGAGATCAAGGACGCCCTGCCTCAGTGCGGCCCGCTGCCGTGCGGGCCCGAGTCCTCGGCGGCCGGCCCTCCGCTCGCCGCCTCCGCTCGCCGCTCGTCTTGCGCGCTCGCCCTCCGCACAAAGGCACCTGTGCACCGCAACCGTGTCGGGGCCGCCCTGGGGAGTTGTCCGAAGATCCCGACGGTTTTCGAGAGTTCCCGCGGCAAGGCGTGACTTCCATCAGCTGTGCCTCCTCCTCGACGGGGTTGCTGAAATCATCCCGAACGGCCGCTGGAGGCGTGAAAACCTGGCGACCCGTGCGGGAGGTAATGATCATCGACAGGAAAGCGTCCTGGGGAGTCGGGGGCGTCCTGGGGAGGTTTTGAAGACCGCACGCCACATACCTTCCAGTCAGCAGGTGGCGCCGCAATAATTGCACCCCGAAGTTTGCACCAAACAGAGTGCATCCCATTTATCGCACCACACGTGTACACTGCAACAAGTTTATTGCACCCCATGGTGTATGCATCGAGAGTGCGCGCTGTGTGTGGGGGGTCCACGCGTCCACGCTGACAAGGATTGCTTCCGTATTTCAGCACATCGGAACATCAGTCGCTCGTTGGTGCGAGATAAAGCAGACAACGTCTTCGCCGTAAAGCTTATTCGACCTTCACTTTTTGCATCCATCGATCGACGGAGTGAACATGATCGGCGCACATGATATTCATTCATTGTGATGTGGCCTTGGCCAGGAGTGCGTGTGTGTGTGTGTGTGCGTGTGCTAATTTAGAGCATGGTTGGTGTGGAGTGGGTTGACTCTGTCGTTCTCATCGCCCTCCTCGCCCTACTTTAAAATCCGCCCCGAAATTGATCTTGGAGCGCAAGCTGACAAAGAGTTTGAGTCGGATGCAGTTGTTGCGGTGAGGGCGTCCCAGGATGCCCACAAATTGTGAAACGTGTCCAACATCCTGGACCCAAGGTCCTTCTCGTCCTCTTGCTTCTCCCTTATTATCCCTTGTCTCCTTGTCTTTGTCTTCCTCCTCCTCCTCCCCGGTTCTTTTCTGATTGACGCACCCACAATCCTTCCGGAGTGCGCAGAGAACCTCGCAAACTTCCCGAAGAACTACATACCGGAGCTCCCTGTCACACTTCCTCATCACACTCATGCTCCCTCCTCTTCTCTTCCGCCCTCTCTACCCCTTTTCTCCTCATCCCTCATCCGTCCCCTCTCGTCCCTCATCCAACCGTTTTCCTCCTTCTCCCTCTCCTCCTCTTCCTCCTCCCCTTCCTCCTCCTCCTCGTCGTGGCCCTCCTCCTCCTCCTCCTCCTCCTCCTCCTCCTCCTCCTCCTCCCCTGTAGCCATTTTGGCTCAAGATGCATGTTCCCCCTGGAAGACAAACGGATACCGCTAGCCTGCGGCAGTGCCAGAGCGCTTGCGCTCGACATCCCCTTCATCCAATGCTCCACCGCCCTCCCAGTATCCCGCCTCCCAGATGTCTGATGGCAGCCGCAATGCCTCGCCTGCTCGCCCTATCTCTCGCAGTGATAACAGTGCAGTGGACGCTGGACGTCGTGGCCGGTTCCGCCCCATGACATCGGAACCACTTCGCTCAGGAAGGCACAAGCGCTCTAGTGGTTGGGATGTTCGCCCTGATGCAAGACGTCGCCCGCTGGCTCCTGCTTCCCATCGCGGATCGGACCCTGGCGCCCCTGCTGCTTGGATGGCGGCGCCAGCTGGAGGCCAGTCCCTCTCTGACAGCCAACAGGCAAGTATCCTGCAGGCGGACGCCATCCTCCCCACCCTCCCAGATGAAGTGGAAAGCACCCCTCCCGACCCGTGGGCCCAAGCTGCTGCTCAGCTTCCTCCTCGTGGCGATATCCCTGCCCGCGCTGCACAGCCTGTTCATGCCGAACCTCCAGTGTACCACATTGTCGCGGACGACGACGCGGGAGACCTTCCCGACTTCAACATCCACTAGTATCGTGCTGACATCGAGGCTCGTTTCGCCACCCTGCGCGGCTCCTTCGGTGACATGGTCAAAGCCGCTGTCACCTCGCCCCTGCAGGCCGCCAGTGACCCGATTCTCAAGACCTTGGATGTGCTTCGCCAGCAAGTTCTGGGGCATGTCCAGGTAGTCGACCAGAAATTACGTCCGCGATTGGCCCCCAGCTCGACCAGCTCGTGAGCATGAGCGGCAGATCCGCAAGCAAGTTGAACTCGACAAAGCCTCTCCTGCGAAGCCCTTCGTCTCCCCTGACCTTGATCGTGAGACCGGTCCCTCCCTAGTTGTTGTGGCGGCGACGGAATTGGTTGGGCCCCAGGGCGTGCGCGACGAGATCGGCGCTTTTCTCGCTGCGCTCAACTTCCGAGAGGATGACTACGACATCCGCGCTCTCGCCCCCCCCCCCCCTTGCCAAGAGGTTCTCGATCACGCTCAAAGGCGCCGTTGGCGTGGCCCCCCGCAAAGTCCAGCGTGTCCTGGGGTGCCTGCGGAAGGACGGCCAGTGGAGGGAATTCCGTTGCGCGGTCCAATGAGCTGACCCCGCCCGTCTTCACCTCGGCCTTGGCAAGTGCCCCAAACAAGTCGGCACCGAGATACTCCTTCGCAAGATCCGCGGCGTCTTCAGCGGCGCCTTCCCCCAGACGCGCTGGTTCGTAGACCGTGAGAGAGGCATCGTCAAGACTGATTTCCCCGATGTCCTGAAGGTCGAGGCCCGCCCTGGCGACGAGCCCTCCACGGTCCATTGGAACGACGCGGGCATCGCGGCGCTTGGTCTTGAGCGCCGTCCTCTCGCCGCAGCCATCTCGTTTCTTTCCACTCCCGCGGCCCAGGCGCAGCGGTGTCTGCGACGACTTCGCGCACCTCTTCTCGCTGCCTGCGACCGCTGGCGGCGCGGTTTTGTACTTCTCCACCTGGGGCGCTAGGGCTCTGCTGCAATGCGGCGGAGCCAAGGCCCAGAAGAAGTTGGGTTCCCTTAGACGCTGTGTTACTGGTAGCAGCACTGTGGGACTGCAAGAAGCGCACGGCGACCGTCCTTAATTGATTGACTTTGTTCGCAAGGTCCGCTCTGACGTGATTGTCCACTGCAGCTTCTGTGATCGTGGGGATCGAGGATCTGGCGGCGTCGCCATCCTTCTGCCCCCCCCCCCCCCTTGCCTCGGATAGAGTTTCCAGTTCGGCAGTGGATCCCTGGGCGCGCGCTGCGCGTGGACGCGGTGCTCGGCGGGGTGCAGTTGGTGATTTTCAGCATTCATCACCGCGGCTTGCCCAGGATGGAGGTTGCCACAGTCTGTGAGCAGATCAGGTATGCCTGCCGCAGGGCTCGCCACTCTCCCCAACTCGCCCTTCGCCGTTGTCCTCGGCGGCTTCAGACTCAGCATCGGCGGGGCGCTGATTTTTCACAGGTCTGAGGCCTCCAAGCCCCGAGCCGCTCATGATCACAAAGTCCATGCCTCGACTTGGGCCAGGGCGCTGGGTGACTTGATGGGGGTCTGCTCGGACTCCCCCACTCACTTCTGTCGGCGTACCAACTCTATGAGCTCTATTGACAGTTTCTGTTGCTCGGCCGATGGCTGGGCGATGCGCCCGCTGTCCGCCGCGGCTGGTGCGATCGACTCGCCGGGGGAGTTGAGCTCCAAGCTGGTGTCTGACCATGCCGCCGTCCGCGCTGCGCTACGACAACGCGCTGCGCGGCCTCCGACGGAGCGCCCCATCCCGCGGTGCGGCGCCCAGAGCCCTGTCTTCAAGAAGCGCCTCATGGGCATGCTCAGGCATGGCGATGGGGATATTCTTGCGCGGGGCCCTCCTGTTGCGAGCGAGCAATATATGCTAGTGCTGAAATAAGCTGCCGGGGGGCCCGTTGCGTTCTCTTCCTCGGAATTCAGACGAGGCGGAGACACTCCAGCTGATTGCCCGCAGTATTTCGAGAGCGGTCTGGCGACAAGATGTCAGGCTCGCTCAGCGTTTCCCCGGCACCTCAGTGCACGCACGCGACGCTAGATTGGTCGAGGGTCGTTCTGTGGCTTTTACGATATGCGCCCGCCTTGCAGCAGTGAAGGAGTGCACAAAGCTGTCCTGGAAAAAGAGATTGCTGCTGCTGCGGCTGCCTCATCATCCTCTGCGTCTGCTCCCAGGGGATCTTGCTCGTCATCGCTGCTACTCGGTGCTATGGACAGAGAGGCTGCTATCTGGGCCTTGTTCTCGAGACGCCTGGTGCTCGCGTCTGTTGTTGGCCCAGACGGGCCTGTCTCGTTCCCTAAAGGCCGACGTCGTACATTGTGGCTACAGGAAATCTTTCTCCTCGGTGAAGCCCCCGCTGAGTCGGCGACGCAAGCATATCTCGATCGCTTTCTGAAATCTGCGCAGGATCCCCAGGTTGCCGCCCCGCTGGGCCCGCTACTCAAGAAAGCCGCCCAGAGGGCTAAACACTCGACCCCTGGGGTGGGCGGGTTGCCGCATGCCGCATGGGCGGCGGTCGACTTCGGCCCCCGCATGATTGCGTCAATGTCCAGCTGGCTTTGTCAAGGGCAGGCTCTATTCGACGCTGCCAGTGTCGCCCTGCAGGTCTGCCTCCCCAAGGGCTCCGAGGCCTCTGACACTGCGAGTGGGGCCTGCGAGAGGTCTCCTGATCGGGTTCGGGTACTGGGTCTTCGCAATACTGGCATGGAGATTCTGAGTTCGGCCGTGAATATCACCCTGAATCCAGTCGTGGTCTCTGTGGCCCCGCCTTCCAAGCTTGGCGTCATTTCTGGGCGTCATTTTGGGCATGATATTCTTGAGCTTGACCCCCTGTTACGGGCGGCCTCTCAGCGCCCACTCGCGCGAAACAAGTTCCCGATTCTCCTCGGCTTTGACTGCGGCCAGGCCTTCCCCAGCCTCTCCCAGTCCTTCCTCATGCAGCTCCTGAGCGCCCTGGGGCTCTGCGAGGCGCCCCTCTCCCTCGCCGGGCCCTGTGCGAAGCTGCCAAGGGGGTTATTGCGGACGGGGGCGCCCTGGTGGAAGTCTTCTGGCTGAGATCTGGGATCATTCAAGGGCGCGGCCTCTCGGGCTCCTCGCGCGCTTCTGCCGCTGCCTCGGTGCTCCAGGACCTGAAAACGAACCTTGAGCGCGTAGCTGAGTGGCTCGGACGAGCATGTGGTGACGACTTGGGAGTGGCATTGTTGAGTTTGCTCATAACCCGGTTGTCTTTGAGGCCCTCCAGACTATGAAGCTGATTTCGGGGCTCTCTATGAAGATTGGTAAGTGCACTGCGGTTCCTCTTGCGGGCTCGATCTCCGAGGCTCTTCGAGGCGAAGTTGGGGATCTCATGGGCCGGCGCGCTCCCGAATTGGCAGAGATCGCTTTTGCGGGGGGCGCGCTGCATCTCGGCATCTGGCTTGGGCCGAGCGCCACTGTTGAGCGGCGCCGGCGTGGCCCTCTCGCCAAAGTTCGCGCGAGAAGTCGCGTGTTTAGCCGCGCGGGCGCTGCAAGTAGCGTCAATTCAACGCTGCGCCGTACCCGAGTTGATCTTTCTTGTGCCTCTCAGATTGTTCCGACGCCGCCCGCCTTCCTCGCGTTCGATCGAGGCGTCGTCTCGCAGGTCCTCAGATGCCCGACCGGCATGATCAGCAATGAAGTTGTCCCTGAACTTCAGGAATGGGGCGGGCCTCGGCTGCCTTCGCGGGCCGCTCATGCTGCTGCTGCACGACCCCGAGCTGCTGCCATCACCTCCCGTGGCTTCCCGTCCTGCCTCGACTTGGCGAATGCCAAGGCGATTGGCTGGCGGCAGGGGGTCGCCGACAGCCGTTTTGATGGCGACCCACTCTCCGCCTTCACCCCAGTTTCTGGAAGGCGCCTGCGAACGTGGACAACCCCGACAGCGTGCTCTTTCTTCTCGGACGGGTGGACGGCTGCCGCTCGATCATCCCTCGCCGACGAGCTGCCCTGCACAGATCGACGCCGTCGGCCTCGACGTGCCATTGCAACCGCTCTTTCGGGCCTTCTCGCTGCTGAGCGGGCGCTGGGCCGAACCATCGTGCGTTGCCTCAGTAGAGTGCTGGGCGGCTACGAGCCCTTCCTGGATCGTGCCCACTGGGGGAAGAGTCGCGAGCTCATGCGACTCCTCCCACACAGCTGGGCCATGGCTGCAACCAGAACGTGGACCAACGGTTGGCTGACGTCAGCACGCATTGTACACCCCGACGGTCTACTGCGATGCCGCTGCGGATGCAGCCGACCTGATCGGCTTGCACATTACCTTGTGTGCCCACGGCTCCGTCAGGCCACAGGTCGAGCGCTGGGTCGAGACGCACCTGCCACTCTTCCAGCTCGTTTGTGCCTCGCGGAACCCAAGCCCGAGAGGTTTGAGGAGATGTCCGTCGCCTACCAGATCTTCAGCTTGACCAGGGAGCGCTGCGGCACAATAGTCCCCAGGACTCTTTCCTCGCTCGCGGCTGCTGCTGCGCGGACGCTGCGCCTCTCGCGTCCTGCGAAGGCGCTGCAAAAGTGGGGCCCGCCGTCGAGGGCACTCATCGGCTCCACTCGAGTCCATGGTATTTCTTCTACGTCCGACTCTAGCGCGACTTTCGACTCCAGCTCCTCGGGCCCGGAGAACGATGCACCTGGTGACGACCTGCCCCGACCAGTTCCAACTGAGGGCTTTGGGGGTGGAGCGTCTGTGGAATCGCCGTCGTCGGTTTGCATGTCACCACATTCTGCGAGCTCTCCAACGTTGTCCTTGCTAAGCGGACCAGGAGTTAGGGGCGCCCTCAGATTGCCCCTATCAGTGCCCTACAGGTGTCAAGCTCATACTCCAACCCGTGCGTCGACGTGCACAGTTAGAACGCAAGTCCCGTCGTGGGTGTCGGGCTCACCGTCGCCACTTGCTGGTTGCAAGCCGATTTCCTCGTCGGGCGCTTGCATTGGCTCGAAATCGCAAGTCCCTCTGTCGTGTTCGGGCTCACCGTCGCTTTCCCCTACTGGATTCGCCGCGGTGTCTCCAGCGTCCGGCATTCGATCGCAAGTCCCGTTGTCGTGTTCGGGCCCGCCGTCGCCGCTTTGCCGAAGCTTCGGCGATGGCCTGCTGGCCCATGGTGTTACATCGCGAGTCCCGTTGTCGTGCTCGGGCACCACGTCGCCGCGAAATAAATTTGCGGGCGTCAAACCGTCGACATCGGTTGAGACCAGCGGACCACTTGACTTGCCGACACCTGTGTCGCCCTCGTCTCCTACTCTGCGGGAACGTCGGTGGCGCGCTCGAGAGCGGCTGCGGCGGTTTGGGATGGAATACTGGTAGGTCTCGATGAAATTGTGACGAGTATCTCCGGAGGCTTCGGCTACCGTGACGGCGGCGGGGGTGATGGGTGGTCGGCCAAGGTCTCCATCCATAGCCCCGGCCGCACTGACATTTCCCCCACCTACCCCCCGCTGTTCTGCGGGGCGACGGCAGCCATGCCGTGCTGGGCCCCTGCCTCATCCTGTACTCCGATTGCGTCCCCGACGCCTGCTTCCGCGCGTGCGCCGATTGCTCCGTCGGCCCCTCGCGGGGTAGGACATCCGCCCGCCACCTCCCCTCTGCCCCCTCCCACTTGTTCCCTCCTGTCGGTCTGAGAGCTTCCAGGACCATCATTTCCACTTGCCCTATTTCTATGCTTCGGACTGCTGACCTCACCTCGCCTGGCCCTTCGCTCGCGATTCTTGCCTCTGCCGCTGCGTGCCCCCTTCCCGCTCCCTCTCCCCGCGTTGCCTCGATTGACAGTGCGGCTCTCCGCTCTAGTTCGCCCCGCCACTCTTCCCCTTGCCATTTGAACACCTCCTTCAGCTCGTCCGAGTTGTCTGCCGCATCGGCCGCTGCGCGTGCATCCTCCGTTGTCGCTGCTGGCACTGCCAGCAAGCGAGATGTCGAGCGGGGCAGGCGGCCACGGGGTCTCTAGCCGTTGTTGGTGACGACGTTGCCCCCTCTGCGCTCGTCTCCTCTTCTTCCTCGTCCTCCTCATCCTCCTTTTTCCTTGTCATCATAATCCTCCTTCTCCTCGGAAAAGGGAGGCGAGGATCTGACGACGCTGACGAAAACTCGACGACGACGACGCATGGTAAATGACGAACGGAGAACGAGCACGACGAACGACGGTGATGATGACGGTAACGAAGACGACGGACGACGACACTGGACGGTGGCGGCGCCTGCGACGGGCGACGACGGCGGAAGGCGACGGATGACGACGGACGACGACGGACGGCAACAGGGGGCGGCGGCGGACGGCGACGCACGTTGACGACAGACGACAACGGACGACGACGACAGAAGGTCACAGCGAAGGACGGACCACGACGTTGACGGATGGGGACGGCGACGAGGTCCCCCGAGGTACCGGGCGATTTTGCCGCGCCGTCCGAGGGATTGCTGGTGGGTCTTCCGCGACGTGCTGGGCGACATGCTGCTGACGTGATCCTGGCAGGGCGGGCGCGGCCCTCCTGGCGGCGCCCCTTTTCTGTGGAAGGAAGAGGAGGCAATGAGGATAACACGCCCTTTTCCTTTCCTCCCCCCTCTGCGTCCCCCTCCTCTTTCTCTTCCCCCTTACCTCCCCCCTTCCTCCCCCTTCCATCCCCCTTCCTCCCTTCTCTTCCCCCTCCTCCTCCGCCTCCTCCTGCTCCTCCTTCTCCTCCTCTTCCTCCTCCTCCTCCTCTTCCTCTTCTCCGCCTCTGTCTCCTCCACGAGGCCGTGCCGTTTTGCTGCTTGTTCTGCAGGGCCAGCCAACTTCTGTGGGACAACGCCGCTGGCCTCTATGGCTCGTGTGGGGTGTTGGCTCGCGCAGCAGGCCGGTTTCCAGCCATTGGGGTATAATCATTTGCGTACGACCCAACGCATAGCCGATTCCCTCCTCCTGCCCCTCCTCCTGAGGAGCCCCCCCCCCCCTCTGAGGAGGGAGAGGAGGTCCGCGCGGAGGTCCCCGCTGGACCAGCCCCGCAGGACCACAGCCCTCCCCAGCAGGACCAGAGGAAGGCCAGAGACCTCCCGGAGGGGCAAACAAGGAGCCAACCTGGACCTCCAGCGACTTGAACAAATATAGACGTATTCCTTTCCTGCATGTTCGGCCCCGTGACCGTCCGAAGCGGTGCGGTTGGAAGCAACGATCCCCAGGCAGTGATTCAGCGGTCGGGGGGACAAGTATTGAAAAAGACCCAGACACTGGAGGCCTGGGGCGGGGGGGGGGAGCGGGGGCATTTATTCCAGGCGCAACATGCACGACCTTTTCATCACGACGGCAGGAGGCGTGCGCACAGTCGAACTGGTGGTAAGGATGGGTAGCCTTCCCAAGGTTACCCCTGCATCATTGCCTCGTCGGTCCATGACCACTTTCGATGGCCTGCCGCGCTCGAAAAAGCTTCAACACGGGCGTCCTAGGAGCTTGCATCCTCATCGCGCATCTTTACTACCAGCTTTGACCGTCTCAGAAGTGAAGAAATTGGGGAGATATTTGTTGGGGACGATACGGAATGCATCTTCTTGCCACGAAGTTTGAACCTACTTGCAACGTTTGGCTTGGCGCAGCACACAGTGACAAGAAAACAGCTTTGACCGTACAACAGCTGGTGGCGTGGGCTCAGTCAACCCGCATGGGAAGGATGAACAGCTTTCCAAGGTTACCCTTGTAGTCTTCCCCTCCGGCCAATCCTTGGCCGCCTGAGCTGGCCGCGCCCCGCTCGAGAAGCGTCGACGTGGCCTTCCAAGGCCCTTGCATCCGCATCGTGCGTCCTCATTCTGCGGAGTGTACCAGTCTTGACCGTCGAACGGCAGGATGCGTAGGTACGACAGGGGGCGCGGAGGCCAGGAGCCAGGAGGCCAGGAGCAGGAGGGGCCCGGGAGCACGACCGCAGACGGGGCCACTGGGGCTAGGAGCGGGTGGGCGCCGGGCCCCAGGAGGTGGCGCTGGACGGTGGCACGACAGCGGGTGGAGGAGCAGGAGGAGGAAGAGGAGGAGGAGGAGGAGGAGGAGGAGGAGGAGGAGGAGGAGGCGGAGGAGGAGGAGGAGGAGGAGTGTGAGGAGGAGCAGGAGGAGGAGGAGGAGGAGGAGAGGAGGAGGGGAGGAGGAGGAGGAGGAGGAGGCGGAGTGTGAGGAGGAGGCGGAGGAGGAGGAGGAGGTGGAGGGGAAGGAGGAGGAGGAGGAGGAGGAGGAGGACAAGGAGGACAAGGAGGAGGACAAGCAGGAGGACAAGGAGGAGGACAAGGAGGAGGACAAGGAGGAGGACAAGGAGGAGGACAAGGAGGAGGACAAGGAGGAGGACAAGGAGGAGGAGGAGGAATACGATTCTGCTGGATCCTGCTTGCCTGATCAACTCCACATTTCGCGGCGATAGGGAGCCGACGGGAAGAGGCGTTCACCGTCCCCCAGGCTTGTCCTGGGCGGCATGGGGCGGCCTCCGAGGAGTCTAGAGCTGCGCACAAGGCCTGTCTGTAGCTGGCAGCATTGGCTCCAGCTACGCGCACCCTCGTCCACTCTGGTTCCCTTCGTCGGGGGTCATGGGGCGGGCCTGGCTCTGCGTCACCCAACTCCACCCTGGTTCCCACCATGCGGCAGTGGTCATGGGGCGAGCCTAGCTCTGCTTCGCCCCCAGCCCTTCCTCACACTTCAAAGCAAATGACCGCGTGCACTGCTGCTGCCTTCCTCGCATGAAGTACTCCCAGCATTGTAGTTCTCATGTCGCTCACTGCCACCCTGCTCAAACGACATACTCTCGGCGTTGTAGCTGATATGTCGCCCACTGCCTGCTTTCTCGCATGAACTACTCCCAGCGTTGTGGCTGAGATTTCGGTCACTGCCGCCCTTCTCGCACGAACTATTCCCAGCATTGTGGCTGATCTGTCGCCCACTGCCTGCCTTTCGCACGAACTACTCCCGGTGTTGTAGCTCAGATTTCGCCCCCTGCCGCCCTTCTCGCCTGAGCTACCCCACGCGTTGTAGCTGATGCGCCGCTCACTGCCTGCCTTCTCGCCTGGACTACTCTCAGCGTTGTAGTTGCCATGTCGCACACGGCCTGTCTGCAGCTCGAGCTTCCGCCCACAGCTCATTTCCGCCGCATAGACTATGCCTGGCGTTGTAGCTGATCCTTCGCTTTCTGCCGCCGTTCTCGCATGAGCAACTCCCCGCGCTGAACCTGACCTGTCGCCCTCTGCGTACCTTGAGCTCGAGCTTCACCCGCAGCTCCTCCTCGCCCGCACGACTCCTAGCGTTGTAGCTAATGTTGTTTGGTCACTACCGCCCTTCTCGCACGAGCTGATCCCAGCGCTATAGTTGATTGCACTCGCACGACTGCGCTGATCTCAGCACTGTGGCTGAAGACGTTGATCACCAGCGTCTCCATGCACACTTTTCGCGGCTCTTGACTGGTCGTCCAGAGGAGAAGCATGAGGAGGAGGGCGAGAAGACAGGGAACAGGGAGGGGACAGCCCATCTTCTTGACGGCTCCCTGGCGACTGGGCCCGCCATAGACGATGCGTGTGCTTGGATCCTCGGGCTATTGCCACTTCAAGTTCTGGCCCATCGGAACACCCCGCCCCCCGCGCACAAGCCACTGGGTGGAAAAGGAGGAGGAGGAGGAGGCGGAGAAGGCGGAGGAGGAGGAGGAGGAGGAGGAGGAGGGGCAGGAGTCAGGCAGGAGCGGCTGGAGCGGCAGGAGGAGCTGAGAGCGGCAGGGGCAGGGGGATGCCCGCGCAGCTCGAATTCGAGCCCCTGCGGCCCGCTGACCGGGCAGCGGCCGCGAGCGGGCCCCGCGAGACTCGCGGCGGCAGCGCCCAGCGCGCGCCTGCGCGGGCGGGGCGCGTGGCGCGCCAAGGTCGGCGGATTGCGCGTAAGAGTAGCCCCTCGCTGGAGTGGCCTCTGGTGTGGGCCCAGCGGGCCCCCTCGGTGCCCCCCAGCACGTGAGCTTTCTGCCCCAACCATCCTGTGGCGTTGGGTCCTCGTCTTGAAGAGCCAGCGCCCCGCGTCTCGCCTCCCTTTCCTTGCCTCTGCCCTCCGCACGCTTGTGTGTTCGGCACACCCCTCACACGCTTCGCTGCCTCACAGGGAGCTCCACCGAAGGCGCCAGTGGGAGGGTTCGCGTGGCACCACCGCCCAATTTCGGCACACCCCTCGCACGTTTCGTGGCCCCATAGGGAGCCACACTGCAGGCCCCAGTGGGAGGGTTCGCATGGTACCACCGCCCCAATCCGGCACATCCCTCACGCTTTTCGCGGCCTCATAGGAAGTTCCACTGAAGCTGCCATGGGGAGGGTTCGCGTGGCACCACCGCCCAATTCCGGCACACCCCTCACACGTTTCGTGGCTTCAGGGAGCTCCACCGCAGGCCCTAGTGGGAGGGTTCGCATGGCACCAACGCCCCATTTCGGCACAGCCTTCAAACGCTTCGTGGTCCTATGGGGAGCCCCCCCCGCAGGCCCCAGTGGGAGGGCTCGCGGCTCCATTACGGCACACCCCTCACACGCTTCGTGGCCTCATTGGGAGTTCCACCTACGGTTTTTGTGGGAGGGTTCGCATGGCACCGCCGCCCCATGTCGGCACACCGCTCACACGCATGGCGGCCCCGCCCCATCTCGGCACACCCCTCGCACGCTTCGTGCTCGTGGCCCCATGAGGAGATCCACTGGCAGCGCCCGCATGGCGCCACTGCACCCGGTTCGGCACACCCCTCACACGCTTCGTGGCCCCCAAAAGAGCTTCATCGAAAGCGGTCGGTATCCACAATGCGGCATTCGCAACTGCATATGGTTGGGTCTTTCGCCCATAGATGTTTTCCCTCCCCAGGGTAGCGCTCGTTACCCGCCCGTCGAGGCGAGTGTCGTTGTCTTAGTAGCACTCGTCGTAATAGCAGTAGTAGGAGGTGCAGTAGCAGTAGTGGTAGTCATCGTTGCCGTCGCCGTCGTCGTCGCCGCCGTCATCCTCGTCGCCGTCGCCGCAGGATTAAGTATGAACCGAGTCTTCTTGGGTGTCGGCAACCGCCAGAAACCCTCATCTAACCCAACGGATACAGCATTGCTTGCTCACTCGTGGATGAGACGCGGTCAAAGACTTTTAGTAAAGTTTACTGCAAGTGGCGGCAGCAAAGAAACCTTTTAGGCGGGGACTTGGGACGGGAGGGTGTACTGTAGCATCGTTGGTTCATCTTCTGGCGGTTCAAACCATGGTGCCTGGGTGGAGGGCATGCTCCCCTGGAGGTTGCTCGATCTAGCGTCTCGGGTCGCGCAGAGTGCACTTCTGGGATGTCGTGGGGCGCCCCTCGCGCTCCAGGCGCACAGCCATCTTTTGGATGTGACGCCGCGACGCGCAAGTCAGGGGGGGGGGGCCATCTTTCAGAGCCGCAGTTGTCGTTCCCAGTTTTCTTTGCTGTGGTCAGTCAGCTTGCATGTTGTTCCAGCCAGTTTCTTAGCCGCGGCCGTACAATCGCCCCAGAAACTGAAATCGGAAACAGTTACCGAGCCCCGCGGGGGCCCGAGACCGCGCGAAAGCGCCCGGCGCGGAACGATTGCGACGCCCGGGCCGTCGGGTTGGTGTTTTCGTTCTGCAGGACGCACCCCCTTCGTGCCTCGGGCCCGATCCCCTGGGCCCAGACCGGAGGCGCGTCATGGCTCTGGACTTCGAGGTGCATCCGGCCGCGCGGCGACGAGTTGCGCCCATGAGGCTCCACAAGGCCCCTTCAACGTCCAGAAGCTTCGGCCCTCGACTTACGAAGCTCGATCCTCCTCCCGTGAGGCTGCTCTTTTAGGGTCTGGCGGGAACCCGGGTTATCCCGCCTGCCCCCCGCCCTCCCCCCCAGATAACCTGACCTTGTCGATTGCGCAGGTCCGAGGGGGTACGCAGTATTGGTACGCGCGGGTATACGTGGGGCTGCCAGCGAAAAGGTTAGTATCGTGCGGCTCCTCTCCTCCTTCCCCCGGATAACCAGGGCAATCGCCGAAAAATGCAAACGGTCTCAAGGCTCAAGGCCCCCCACCGTCCAGAAGCCTCGGCCCCCTAATTTCGAAGCTCGATCCTACTCCCTTCCGTCGGTGGCACACCATAGGAGCCACGTGTACCCTCGTAATTCCATCTCAAGAGTGCACTAGCGCGCGTTAGTCTATGGTAATCGATGGGGAAGCGCAGGTTTAGCCTCGATTAGTGCCGATGCAGCGTCGATGAGCGTCGATGGGCGTCGTAGCGTCGATTAGTGCCGATTCGCAAGAGCCAGAAAGATGGCATGGGAGGCTCCCAGGAGCTGCCTCCGAACTCCCCCTTCCTTTCCTTACCAGCTTGAAGCATTTCTGCTCTCGTCAGAGCACCCACCAGTCTGGGCCTTTACAGAGCCGCTCTTGCCCGACCACCTCGGCCGAGCTCGACAGGACAGGTGGGGCATCGTCGGGTCCGCCTGTCCCAGTCTGGTCCAGGTCCAGGTCTTCTCTGTCCATGCCCCTTCAGCCGCCCGTCTGTCAGACCGACCGTCCGTCAATCCGCAGGGCCCATGGGACGGCGAGGGCGGCGGTCTCTGCGGCACTCCGCGGCCGCCGACCCCTCTCCCCGGCGGGCGCCGCCATGCCCGCGGGCACCGGCGACGGCGGCGCGCGCTGCCCGCGGGTGCCCGGCGGCAGCGTCAGGCAGCGCGACTGTGGCGACATTGGCCTTAGCGGCGGCGGCGACGGCGTCGGTCGGGAGCGGCCAAGATCAGTATCGTGTAACCGAACCCTATCCCCGTCCCGATCCCTATCCAGACCCCCGCCATCTCAGCACCCCCGTGGGGTACATGCACCTCGAAGCCCGAAGGAGACTGCCGATAGCCTCATCTATGGGGGTAAATCGTCAAGTGGTGCCCATGCCACGCCCATGGGGATAGCAGTCGGTGAAACGATGCTGACCAGTGGGGGGGGTGATGACCATGGGGGGCCTGAGGGCTCCAGGGACATCTTATCATTATGCTCAGCTGCGTTACATCTTATTATTTTGCACAGCTGTGTTCTAGAGCTCGTGCCTCCTTTTTGCGATGGTATTATGGCTGGCGCCGCCGATCCTGATGGGGGACAACGACGACAACGGCGGCGGCGGCAACGACGACGAGGCTGACGTGGGCCAGAGGGCTGCTTGTTGGGGTCTCTTCGGGAGGCTCTCGGGGGGCCTCTGGGGAGGAATTCCGGGGCCTCGTGGGAGCCTCTTGGGAGGCCTCTTGGGACCCGTTTGGGGCATTTTTCGGGTTTCCCGGGGGCCTCTTGTGGGCCTCGCTCGGACCCCTTTGTTTTCGTTCGTCGTGGTCGTTCGTCCTTTCCCTCTCTCCCTGCTGCACCTGGCCTGCCCTCTTCTGGCCGTGGCCTTCCCCCGCGTTTCCGCCCCTCCCCCTTCCCCCCTGGCCTGCCAGCAATGATGCAGGAGGGGGGAAAAGGGAGGAAAAGTGTAGGCACAACGCACCACCGCACGCTGCTTTTCGCAAGTAATGAAGGAGAATGACAAACCCACGAAATAGGGAAACAGATGGAACATCCTGGAGTTTGTGTCAGTACTGTTGATACAAATGCCCCCCGGCCCACGTTCGTCCTCGCCCCCCCCTGCCCCCCTCTGCTGCCACGTATGGACTGCCACCCGCAGGCCGCACCACCCGCAGGCCGCAAGCCATGGTCCTCTCCCCCCCCCTCCTGGTCCAGGGCCACGCCCACCCCCTGCCCCGCGTGCTCACCACCCTCCCTCTGGCCCTGGCCGCCCTCAGTGTCAGTTCGCTCGTTCGTAGTCGTTCTCTTGCTCCTGCTTTCTCTTGCCCCTGGCCCTGCCCCCCTCCCTCCCCCTCGGGTCCTGGAACACGCCACGCCCACCTGCCCCGTGTTCTCGACCCCCCCCCACCCCCGACCACTGGCCATCCCCCCTTGGCAGTGGCCCTCTCCCCCTTGGTCTGGTCCAGACGTCTTTGCTTTCCTTTTATTCGTTCGTGGTCGTTCGTCCTCCCCCCCTCTGCCTATGGCGTGACAACCTCAGGCCTTGGCCCTTCCCCCCCTTGTCACAAGATGACCCTTCTCCCTCCCTCCCCCCTGTCCACGCCCACCTGCCCCGCGAGCCCCCAACCTCCCCCTCCCAGCACCCTGCCTGCCCCCCTCAGACCGTGGCCTCCCCCCCCCACCTGGTCCGGACAGGACATGTTGATTATTCTGCACAGGTGCGTTCTGGAGCTGGTTCGGAGCCTTTTTTTGTTGCGGTGGTGGTGGTGGCGGTGGCCGCCCTCTCTCCTCAGGCCCACTGGCCACTGCCCCTTCGCTTCCCAGCCCCCGCGCTACTTGACCGTACAAGAGCCAGGGCACGCGCGCCATTTGCTTCAGCTGGTGACGGAGGGTCGGCGGCGACAACGACGACGCCAGCGCTGACGACGATGAGCGAAGACCAAGAGGAAGAGGACGACGACGGCGTCGACGACCGACGGCGTCGACGACCACGACCACGATGACGACCACGACGGCGGGGGCGGCGTCGGCGGCGTCGGTGGCGGCGACGGCAACGACGACGACGACGACGACGACGACGACGAGTACGACGAGAATGACGGCGACGACGATGACAAGGGCGACGGCGACGAAAAGGACGACGTCGACGGCGTCAGCGACGACGACGATTCTGCGGATGTGTGTTCGTGCCCTGTGGGCACGTCCTTGGAGCTTCTCTGGGGACATCCAGGGATTCGGGTCTCCATCCTCTACGCCCCCCGTACCTTCGAGGGCGAGGATCGAGGAGTAGTGCGGTTTTGGGATTTGGTTCGCTCGGTTCCACACTAGTGGCAGGATCGTCTGCACGCATCCTGTTCATGTCCGCTTACCAGTAACGGTACGCCTTGGTAGTTTCGCCTGAACTG